ATCTGGAGGCCTTTGCCTTTCATTTAAGCCACTTCTGATACCAAATGACCAACTAGAAGTCAAGTGATTATTTGGTGTTCCTAAAACCTGGATAGGCAACAAAACTTTTGTCAGGTAGTGTGAAACATATTTTAAATATATGAAATTCGACGATATACGCAAATTGCCTATATGTCCAGGTTTCTATGTCGGATCTGGGCTGAGGGTGAGTAAATCAGCAGCAAATATAAATATATGTGTCTTGTCTGGACATTGTGTTCCTGAGCTCCCACACACAGACCACACCACTGACAGTGACAACAGATTGGCTGCAGCTACACAAATGCTCTTTAGATGTGCAAACATGACACATAACTAAAGAAGACAGCAGGAATAACAGCACCAGTGCAAAAACATTATTAAAGCTGAAATATTGAACGTCACATGATCAAACCCGAACCCTGACATCATAGCCTCTGCTCGCCGGACACCAGCAGCAATTGTACAGTATTATTATTGGGTTGACTTTCATAGCATTGAAGTGACAGGTAAACGGCTTGGCCATTTGGTGTCTGGAGGTTTAGATGTCAGTCAGAATAGTGTTTTCAGTCGGCCATATTGGAGGCACAGAATGTAGAATAAGTCAGAAGTATTAGCCCCCCCTGTTTATTTTCCTTCCCAATTTCTGTTTAACGGAGAGCAAATGTTTTCAGTACATTTCTAATCATAATAGTGTTAATAACTCATCTCTAATAACTGATTTATTTTATCTTTGCCGTGATGACAGTGAATAATATTAGACTACATATTTTTCAAGACACTTCTATACAGCTTAAAGTGACATTTAAAGGCTTAACTAGGTTAATTAAGTAAACTAGGCAGGATAGGGTAATTAAGCAGGTTATTGTATAACGATGGTTCGTTCTGTAGATAGTCGATTAACAAATTAACTAATGATTTTGTCCTTAAAATGGTTTTAAAAATTAAAAACTGCTTTTATTCAAGGCGAAATACAACAAATAAGACTTTCTCCAGAAGAAAAAATATTATCAGACATACTGTGAACATTTCCTTGCTCTGTTAAACATCATTTGGGAAAAAAAATAAAATTAATTAAATCAAAGGGGGGTGAATACTTCTGACTTCAACTGTATATATATGTATATATATATATATATATATATATATATATATATATTTTTTTTTTTTTTTTTTCTGGTTCTAATATTTTAATACGTTTCTTTTACCACTTAATAAATTAAATCTATTAAAATATTACACCCTAAATGTAACTCAGTCCTTCTCCATATGATTTAGCAGCATTCACGCAATTTCTCTGTTGTTTAATCAGCTTAATTATGCAGATCCACCTATTGAGTTGAGCATTAACTGTGCAACACATGCTGTTGTTTACATCAGAATATCTCCAGTATGGCCACACTTACAGGTAACTGAGCTTATCTTGACTTAAGGTCAAACACTCTTCATCTGATGGACACTGGGTAACAGATTTTGTGTAGGACTATAGAAAGCACAGCTCTTCTTGAATCGTCTTCCTCTTAATTACCAAACTCTCACGTCTCACAGTACGAATCCACATTTGTCTTAACTTTTGGTCCTTAGGGAAGCGATGAACTCATGCGCACACTAATCTACACAGTAGGAATCTCTGTTCCCACTTCTGCTTTTACAGAAAAGCATTTTCATGCTTTTAAGTACTTTTTGACAAGCATAAAAATACCATAATATATTTGCAGATGTTTAAGAGACATGCTAACTGAACACTTGCTAATCTAAAAAGACATTGCTGGAGTCAGTTGTTCTGCTTTGAGGATGAGTGTTCAGTGACTGAATGTCTGTCTTTGTTTTGACCTCTATAACCAGCCCACTACCAGTTTACCCAGTTATGTTTTATGGTTATATTACAATCGGGCCAGTTGAAAAAATCCTTAGCGTTGAATATTAAAAACGTAAACATTAGCAGCTTATTGTCAGGCATGCTCTATCCTGTTGGTGTTGTCAATCTGGCAACCTGTGTGTGCGTCAGAAAAACCTCTCACCAATATTTTGAGTTTGACTGCAATACCCTATCATACGGCCGGTACAATGAGGCGCAATTGTTGTTTGCTAGTTTTAGCTCGGTGCAAGAGTCATTTTGACATCATTTTGACGTAACTGACTCTTAAAGGGAATGGGAAATTAAACTCTGATTGGTTTATAGGGGTGTCAAAATTAATCGTTTCTTCGGTGCATAGCGATGCAGACGAGGACAATTCGGTATCAGTTCAGTAATAATCATAACCTGTTATTATGTACTGACGTCATTTATCTCCTATGCGCTCTGTCGCGAGGGAGGTGAGCGCGAGTATTTACAACACTCAGCCAACTCACTGCCGGCCCGTGGCATAGGCACCATATGCAAATGCTAAGGGCGCTGTATATCCAGGGGGGGGCCAGAAATGAGCGCGGTTCAGTTGGTTTTGTTTTCGATAATCCTGACACTCATTCAGTTATAGCGGCAATAACTCAAAAACCTCTTACCCTAAAAAGATCTAAAGTGTGTTTTCTACAAAAAGACAAAGCTGGTTATGTTTCACAGCTGTCTTTCTTTTTTTTCACTCGACATTACAAGCACTGCTCCATTTGAGCTCTCGCAATATGTGTTTAGCCGGGAGAGCTCGCGCTGAGAGGAGCTCTCAGTAAGGGACCGTCGGAAAAGTGCTTCTTTTTTTCGTTTTTTTTTTTTTTTTTTCGTTTTTCTGCTCCGCTCAGCGCGAGATCTCCCTGTTGCGAGGGCTTAAGTGTGTGTGTGTGTGTGTGTGTTTGTTTCTTTGGTGCTGTCTATGTTTGTTTATGTGTTTGAATAAGGACAGTGTGGTGCTGTGTGTCTGTGTGTTTATACAGACAGCTTGTTATAGCCTCCCCCCTAAAATATAACACTGTATATAGAAAGCATCGTCAATGCACCGTGATGCACCGAGATATCGAATTGAACCAAATCGAAGGCATAATAATTGTAACCGAACTGAACCGTGAGACCAGTATAGGTTCACACCTCTATTGGTTTATTCTTAAAACACATCTATAACTCATTAAGAGAATAAGCTCAACCCTGTTAGACCATGCGCCAAGCGGATTTTTTTCATCTTTAAAATAGCAGAAGTGGATTCATACACACCCTTATTGTTTTTGCGCCCAGCGCTTTAGTCTTTGCGCATGGATTGTCAAAATAGAGCCCTTGATGTCTTACATGCTGCACCTTTAATGCTCGGTTAACACTTAATCACCTTATTATCTAGGTTCAACATTGCCTTAGTGTGTGTGAACCCATTTTAATCATCGAAATAACATTACTCAAGGTCCAAACCTAATAAAAATTCTGTGTTAAGTGTACATTTTTCTTCTGTCGATTCAGTGTTGATTCAATGCTGGACCTCTATTAGGGAGTTCAGCTGAAGAATCCACTGAGGCTGCAGGACAGTAAAGAGCGGGATTTGCGGGGAGGGAGGGTGCTTGTTGCAATTGTTAAAATTGCTGCTCGTCGCAGGGCTCCTAAATGGCTGGTGCCCTATACACTCTGCCCCCCTTTCCCCCCCCACTGGCGATGTCCCTGCTCCAGGGTACTCACAGCTTATAAGACCACAATACCTAATGCTACAAGAAAGATGACTGAAAAATTAACTGAACATACTGTATTTGTGTAGACTTATTAATAACTTTAATTTAACAATAATCAAAGGGTACATGTAGCAGGTCATCGAAAATACTTATAGACTTCAATGTCTTCAACCTAAAAATAGGCAAACAGTTCTGTTAGCATAGTGAGGGTTACATTGTGGGTTTGTTTATTGTCTTGACTTCCTGAAAAAACAGATTAAAATAGGATGACTCATGTTGTACCACACAGATGTAGACCAATCAAATTCTCCATCGAATGAGAATGCCCAGCCCCCCAAGCCTATTGGATACACAAAAATAACACCAGACAAGTTTTTGGATGAGTCCAAACCTTTTGTTTCAGTGGGTATGTTGGTACTCAGTACATCAGAAGTGTTTGCTCAGTAATTGAACGGTAATGTGCTATGGAAAAAGGGATTTACAATTTATTACACCAATTTATGGGTGACATTAGGGGGGCTAGGTGGGTAAAGGAGAGGAGAGGGGTTCAGATGCCTCCTTATAATGTCATCATGGAGTTTCAGCCATCAGAAAGGCAGCCAGCCAGTGCTCAGCAGTATTTGGTTATGGCTCTGAAAGCATTCACTAGAGCAAGGGTCACTAAACTTGTTCCTGGAGGGTCGGTGTCCTGCAGACTTAATCATTCATTCATTCATTCATTGTGTTTTCTGCTTCGTCCCTTTATTAATCCGGGGTCACCACAGCGGAATGAACCGCCAACTAATCCAGCACATTTTTACGCAGCCGATGCCCTTCCAGCCGCAACCCATCTCTGGGAAACACCCACACACACTCATTCACACATACTCGTACACTACGGGAAATTCCCCTGTACCGCATGTCTTTAGACTGTGAGGGAAACCGGAGCACCCGGAGGAAACCCACGTGAATGCAGGGAGAACATGCAAACTCCACACAGAAACGCCAACTGACCCAGCCGAGGCTCGAACCAGCGACGCCGCAGACTTAATCAGACATACAAAATCAAGGTCTTACTAGGTATATTTCAAGTACCCAGGCAGGTGTGTTAAGACAAGTAGGAGCTAATCTCTGCGGGGACATGGGCCCTCCAGTACCAAGCCTGGTGACCCCTGCACTAGAGCATCTGCAGGTGTATCAATCAGCTGATCCATCAGAGGATCACCCATACCTGTGCACAGCTCTGATCTGATAGATGTGGTTATAAACTCTCTCGCATCCGTGCCGCTTAGTGGGGAACATGAATCAATGATATTCTAACCCAGGGATCACCAATCTCGCTCCTGAAGGGCCGGTGTCCCTGCAGGGTTTAGCTCCAACCTCCTCAACACACCTGCCTGGGTGTTTCAAGTATACCTAGTAAGACATTGATTAGCTTGTTCAGGTGTGTTTGATTAGGGTTGGAGCTAAAATCTGCAGGACACCGGCCCTCCAGGAACAAGTTTGGTGACCCCTGTTCTAACCAATCAAAGACATTTCTGTTGAGTGCATGAGCGCAATGGTCAACCCATCCCTTGTTCTCTTATTGGAGGCAGTCCATCTCTACACCTGATGTAATCGATGTCAGGTAAGCTGACCGGTCCAGATATTTGACCTGCTAGATGTTGTTTTTCGTGATGCTTAGTAGTTCACAGTTAAATACTGCAGCACACAAATCACCCTCTGATTTTTCCCAGACCACAGCTCTTTTGGAGAGCTTGTTCACTTGGAAATCAGGCTAAATCCTGTATATGTGAACTAGGCAAAAAGTAGGATGTTGTTTTGCTATATTGTTGTGCAGACCCCCCCTTCAACTCAAGAGTCAAATGTCACCCATGCACCAATGTAATCAGCTCTTCCCGAAGAACATCATCTGTTGTCGTTTTGTGTACTGCAGCTTATTGAATCCAGTTAAAAAAGTCCTGAACGCTCCGCAGTATTTGTCTGTGAAGGGATGTGAGTCTATGTGTGCTCCTTCCGCCTGATCAATCTCTTGAAGGCCTGCTTGAAGTCCTCGTTGAAGCTGGTGTAGAGCAGCGGGTTCACCAGAGAGTTGATGTAGCCCAGCCAGGTGAGGGCGTCTGACACCTGAGGCGAGGGGGTCATGAGCACCTTCAGGCCCACCAGCAGCTCCTTCAGGAAGAAAGGCAGCCAGCACAGGATGAAGGCCCCCAGGATGAGACCCAGGATGCGAGCCGCTTTCCTCTCCCGAGACGTGCAGATCTGGTTTCTCTCATCCAGCTCCGGCGTCTCCGTATCAAACGTTGGCATTCGCACAATAGTGACGTTGTTTCTCTCGAACTCCATGGTGTGGTCAGAAGTCGAGACGTCGGAGACACAGAAGGCATGCTTGACGCGGCAGTGATTGAATGAGGTCTGGCTGTCGGTGCTGCGGCTGCTGAGGTGTCGCGATGAGCCACGTTTCTGGTACAGAGTCTTGGCAGCGCTGTATATGCGCGAGTACAGAATGAGGATCAGAGTCATGGGGATGTAGAACGCACCAAACGTGGAGAAGATGGTGTAGCCCACGTGGTCGTGCTCGATGATGCATTGCTGCGGGCCATTTGCGTCCCCGCGCTGCCTCCAGAACAGAGGCGGGATGGAGATGAAGATGGAGATCACCCAGACGATGGCCACCATGACTCCGGCGCGGCGGGCCGTCCTCTTGCGGGCGTACTCGATGGCTTTAGTGATGGCCCAGTATCGATCCAGTGCGATTACACACAGGTGCAGGATGGAGCAGGTGCAGCAGGTCACATCGACGCTCAGCCAGGCCTCGCACACGTACGTCCCCAGCAGCCACTCCTCTGTGGTGATGTACAGGATGCTGATGGGCATGACCAGCACCGACACTAGAAAATCTGTCACCGCCAGTGAGCAAATGAGGTAGTTTGCGGGCAGGTGGAGCTTCCGCGTGGTGCAAATGGCGGCGATGACAGCTCCGTTCACCACGGCTGTCAGCAAGGTCAGCAGTGACAGCAGAGCCACGATGGCCAGTCGCTCCGTCAGCGCCTCCACCTGAGACGCTGCTTCTGAGCTGGTGTTGGTGGCGTTGGCTGGAGAACTGGTGCTTTCCCCCAGGTAACGCTCCATCTCCATCCCGCTGCTCCAGAACTAGAGCCTCACAGACTTCTGCACTGGATCAGTGGCGTTCTGTCAAAAAACAAAGGCAAGCTTAATTAGCTGTGCATTAAAATTTATTCATGATGATCTAATGAAGGGGTATGTGTGTACAGGCACTAGGGGTGTCAAAATTTATTCTTGGTAACAATTCGGTATCAGTTCAGTAATAGATCATAACCAGTTATTATGTACTGACGTCATTTGTCTCATATGTGCAATGTCACATTAGCTTACTGTTAGAGCTGCACAATTAATCGTAAAAAGATCGCGATCTCGATTCGACCCCCTAGACCAGGGATCACCAATCTCGATCCTGGAGGGCCGGTGTCCCTGCAGGGTTTAGCTCCAACTTGCCTGATTGTTTCAAGTACACCTAGTAAGACCTTGATTATCTTGCTCAGGTGTACTGATTGGGGTTGGAGCTAAAATCTGCAGGACACCGGCCCTCTAGGACCGAGATTGGTGACCCCTGCCCTAGACAATCTTAATCCAGCATTGCTATGATTCTGTCAATCATATTTTCAAGTTCAGGAGAGAAGCAATTGTGGCCGCACAAGTCCCCACATTGTTTTACCTGCGTTGTTCAGCAACGTGAACACCTCTAAATGGTGTTGAAAGAGTCAAATACTGTATTTATAAGATATAATTCACCTCAGAAATGTCATTTCTGTCTTCATGTAATGTATTTGCGACCGCAAAATCACACATGACGTAAGCTGACTGTAAGCTGTTACCACAGAGAGGGCGCGCGCACTGAATGAAGTCTACTTTAGTGAACAGAACCTGCATAGGCTGTGAATAACAGGTAATAAAGTTACAAATAAATAACATTCAGTTTGTGGCACAGAGTGATCGTTTGGGAGCCGCGCAGGAAGTGAACCGCTTTTAGCAGAGAAAATGAAACTGAAAGCGCACACAGTGTTGCCAGATGTAGCTGACTGATTCCAGCCCAAAGAGTATCCAAAACCCGCCGAAATGCAAAAACACTCACCCAGTCTTCTGTATTCAGTGACAGATTTTAAGCAGAAAATGACAGATTGTAAGCATATGTCTCAAACACAGTAATTCAACAGCATTAATGACCAGGACAAATCTAAAGTCTGTTCAAGTCCACCATTCCAAGTCTATACATAATTTAGCATTTTAACCAACAGTACAGCTACACAAAGCCTATTGCTGTTTTACCACATGTTTGAGAAAAACAATAATAACAGCCCACTCATGTTAACCTTTATCTTATATCTACAGAATCGTGAGAAAATCATGATCTTTATTTTAGGCAATAAAAATTGTGATTCTCATTTTAGCCAGAATGGGTGGGTTTGAGGTGAGTAATTACAACACTACGACTACCTAAGAAAAGCAGACAACTGTGCACAATTCACTGCTTGTGGGTTTCCTGGGAGTCTTTCACTGACACTGAAGTTACAGCAAAACCCAGGAGACCCTATTCCACTGCAATGGAGAAAATCCATCTCTCCTCTATCGCTCTCAGTGTGTACCTTTGACCTGTTGGCAGGAAGTAACGTTTCCTCTCATTTCTCAGAGGAGACTAAGGGTGCGTTCACACCTGTGAATCGATTCAGTTGTTCCGAAACAGAGATTACAATTGTTACATTGTTGTTCTTTGCTCTTGGAGCGGTTCACTTTCACACTGCAAAGTTTATAAACGGACCAAAAGAGCTAAAACAAGTCACGTGCGAGTAAACTCTCCTCACATTGGTCAGAGTGTCAGGGTTTATTTTGCCGAGTCCCGCTAAGCTGTCAGGAGAGGTGGTGGTTTGGTGGTGATTGACAGGGTGCGCGCGCGCGACGTGTCTGAGAGGAGAGATGCGGTGGGGAGGGGTGAGAAGGGTGCGCGACGATGCTTATTTGAGGACCGGGAGGGAGACGCGAGATTACCGGGAGATCATCACTCGTTTGCGGGCACCCGGAGACTCGCGAAACTTCCCGCCATGCTCATATTTCTCTCTTAATATAGCCGTATGCCTATTACATATCCATAAAACACTGTGATATAACCACACTCGGATCGGATCACTTTCTCACTGCAATCGAACTGCTCCAGGGTTTGTTTCAATCTAGCCGAGACCACCTCGATCAAGCGATCTCGGAGCGATTACTTTGGCGCGGAACAGAGCGCGATTGCCCTGTTCACATATGCCAAACGAACCGCGCTAACTGGGCAAACGAGATACGTTCCGAAACAAAAGTGTAGGTGTGAAAGCACCCTAAGACCAACGATAGCCATTTATGAACTTATTTGACAACACTCAAAAAGCAAGCAGGATTTATGTTTTGTTTTTTTGCTATAACTGTTCACGTTGGGTCCGTTTCAGAAAGGAGGGTAAGTGAAAACTCCGAGTATTTTAACTCTGAAACGAGACAAACTCTTTCAAAATGGCAGGTTTGTCAAACTCGAGATAGCAAGGTAAGTCAAGCCTGTTTCTGAAAGAGCGGTAACTTTAACTCAGAGTCAGTGGTAACTTACTTTGTAAACCTAACCTGGTCAGGAGCAGGTTTTATTCCCTAAACTCTGAGTTTCTGTTGGTCTCCTCCCCTTTCCAAATAGCACACGAAAGTGGGCCACTTTAGGCAGTTATACGGCACCGGTGGTCTTCCTTTGGCCCAGAAAAATGAATGTGAGCCTGAAGTGGCCCACCTGTACAATGGTCAAGTGGGCCAACGATTCAAATTCATATATGGGCCATTCAAGGCAAAGATTTGGCACTTATGGCAAAATGTAATCTGAATGTGAACCTAATGTAGAAAATGGTAAATTTGGTCTAAATCTAAAGTGGCTCACACGTGTAAGTGCAAATGTGGCCCAGTTATCTTAAGAGATATCTGGGCCACTTTTGGCAAATATTCGGCACAGTAAACTCTGGCTAATACAGATAGATAGTGGCCCAGAGAAGATCTGGAAAATATGGTTCAGTTATCTTAAAACATATCTGAGCCACTTTTGATGAATATTCAGCGCAGTAAGCTCTGGTTAATGTGGATTTGAGCCTATAGTGGCCAAATGGCAAATATGGGTGAGTATCTCTAGCAAAAGATGGTGTGAGCTCAAAGCAGCCGAGGTAAGATGTGGCAAGTATGGTACTGTTATCCTAAAACAAGGTCACTTTTGGTAAAGATAAAGTACAGTAATAATTTGATAATTACAGGGGTCAAATCATAGCTTTTTGGCATGGCGGATATGAGTGGTAATTTGTGGCCCAGATCTTGCAAACAGGAGCGGATCACCCTCCAGCGAGCCATCATTCCATTCAGTGAGTGGTCCGGATGTAAGTGTCAGAATAAAAGCAAACTGTGGCCCAAAATAGGCTCAGTTCTGGTTCATTTGGTTGAATGTTGGATGATATGTGATATTGCTATGGCTTAATTGTAGCCCAGATCTGGCAAACAGGAGCCGCCCAGGTGACATCATTCCATGTGGTATGTGGGCCGGATGTAAGTGTCTGATGTGGGCCGGATTTGAGCCACATGAATTTTGCTGGCTGGGTAACAATGAATTGATTTCCATTAACGTTAACAGAAGAGAATACATTTATTGTTTATTATTTGTTCATGTTAGTAAATCATAAACCAACATTGACTGATACAATCTTACTGTAAATATCATGTTATTTAAGATTTATGCAGTAACAAATTTTGAAACAGATGTAAATTGACTGTATTATTTACATTATTTACATTATTATTACATTATTTTCATTATTGTCAGAATAGCGATGTGCTGTTTGCATGTGTTTGGTCTTCTAGTGTTGTGTGGTAACTGAAGATGAATTTGCGCTTCTGCTTGGATTTATTTTTCTCTAGTCAGAGTCGCTCTGACCGACGGCCCCGCGGCTTTAAAAACACCAACAGATGAAGTGAATTTAACGCAGGGGTTGTGTCTCAAGGGCAAAGTCAGCAGCGGTGAACACATTTATTTTAATGCATTTATTTAGAGGGAGCAGAAATATCTTCACAGAGTTGAAGTTGCTGTGCTGCAGCGAGCTTTTACAGACAAACACAAGCAAACACATGCAGGAACACATTTAAGTAATGCGGAGCAGATTCAAACCAAAGAGCAGAACCAGTTAACCCTGTCGACTTCAGTTTCAGAGAGGAGCATCGGCCCGCCTGCTAAATATAACCTTTAACATGCGAATTTAATGAAGACATAGGCCATTACTGGTCGCTAAATGAAGAACAGGAGGAAAATATTCAGACGTTTCTGAACACTAAAAAACTTCCCTTTACACAGAAGCACATCAAATAACGTACTCTCAAGATCCAGAACTGTTTTTAAAGCACGATGCAAACCGAAAACCATTCATTTCATGCATTCCCAACACAAAAGGCCTTAGTTCCTCTCTAACAGATGTAATAAACAGTAGTGAGGTTCAGCGTACATGACGCCAAAGGCACAACATTCAAAAATTCAATTACTTTTACTCCACTCAACAACAATAACAGTCACAGTATACAACTGTAGATCTTGAGAAAACCTGTAGGAGCCTGTAAGAACTCCCCCTCCATTCACAAGCAGGTTTATTTTCTTATATTAGTGAGGACTCTATATAGAGCAGTGTTTCCCAACCCCGTTCCTGAAGGTACACCAGCAGTACACATTTCAACCTCTCCCTAATCAAACACACTTGAATCAACTCATCAGATCATTAGAAGAAACTTTAAAACCTGACGTTAATGGTGCAGATAAGTGAAGTTTATTCATAAACAAATGTCGAGAGGATCACGTGCTTATGATTGTTCACAGCTGTTCCAACTTTAGCTAATGACTGATTATCCTATCAGACAATCCTTAACTCACCATAAATAACCAGACTTTTCTCATCTCAATATCTTCGTCTTGAAGAAACCTCCCCACCCAACCCTACTTTCCCTCCTTTCAAACGGGCGTCACGGTGGCCAGTGATTAGCGCTGTTGCCTCACAGCAAGAATGCCCCTGGTTTAATTCCTTTCCAAACCAGACGACAATTGTGTGCGGAGTTTGCTCGTTCTCCCCGTGGTCGCGTGGGTTTTCCCCGGGTCCTCCGGTTTCCTCCCACAGTTCAAAAACAAGCACTCTAAACAATTAATCCAAAATACTTTAGCTAAACTCTGAGTACACCTTTCAGCATACATATCCGACACTTAGCTACAACAAGCAAGAAGGGGAGTCATCGAGATCTACCTGAGCTCAAACTCCCCTCTCGCCTTGCAACGGGGGGGAGCCCAGGGC